ACAGATACGCAAAAACAAATTCATGACACTTCATTGAATTAAACTACTTTAATTTTGCTTACACTGTAAATTTGGAAACCCCTTTCATGTTTTTTTTTATAATTTTTTTTTTAATTGAAACATACTGTGCTGTGTTTAAACACTTTGGGCATGTTGTAACTAATGGTGTTGTGAAGTCTGTTCTAACCGAAATTTATGAAACTGTTACTCGCCGTTCACCTAGACAGCCGCGACGATAGCCCGATTTCGCATTCAAGACATGAGTGATATGTGAACTGTTATACTCGTTTTCTGAATCGAACTATTATATGATTATATGCCGAACTATATAATGTGTGTTGATTTTCATGCTCGTATTTAGTGGACTATATAACTCGTATACTACTGAACTTTAAAACTTTTTGAATTTAGTGATCTTTCTTATTTCGTTTTATCGTATTTTGTATATATTCGAATTTCTCTTTATAGAAATATTGTCATTTATATTCGTACACTTTCGTATTTTTAGCCTTGTATTATTTCATCTCGCGGCCCGAAGCATATCGGGAATCGTTATAAGCACCCGAGCTTAATGCAACATTTGAATTCTCCGTAAAACGCATAAATTTTAACCAATCAGATCCCCTCCTCATTGGCCTATCACAAACATGTAATATATCACCTTCCCACCCAAAATTCAAGAATGCGCCATTCCCCTAAAATTGAGGAATTGTCCTTGTACTGGTCAGATGCAGTTTTATGTGAGTATAATAAACCTCGTTACTTCCTCAAGCATCTGCTATTTCGCCTCCGTTGTCTATATCCACCCAAATCTCTTCTATACAATCCTATACATTTTTGACTGCCCACAATGAGGGATATCAGACCACCATTTGCAAATCCATTGGTTTACAATAAACGTACCTTTTTAAATAATCTCCAACTTTTCTGTTCTGTTTTCACATTCATTTTGTTTTAGTGTTACACGATATACGTATCTCACTGTAAGGATGATTCACCTTCGATATAAAGTACACGTCTAACGTACGAAGTAATCATTTTTCTGGCGACTGTTGGCGTGGTGGCCCTGGGTCTGTTAATGTCTCAAATACTTCTTGTACCCTTTGATCGGTAAAATGTAAGAGTATCGATCGTTTTGTGAAATATTTCCGCAGATTTTGCTGCCGAATAAATAAGCTTTTTCTTTATCGGTGCCTTTTAGGAGTGAGTGCCGTTGCACTCCTGGCGAAAACAGTTGCACTGCTTGAATTCCTACTTGTAATGCTGTTATCAATTAGTTCGTCAATCCTTGTCGCCACTGTTACGTTACCAGAACGGGATGTGTTAATGGTCTGGCTGATAAGAAACTATCAACAGACTGCTATACAACTTGAGACCGTTTATTACGCATTTGCAGTAATCACATTACAAATGCAGTCTCTTACATATTTGTGTTTGAATAACAAACAATTCAATTAAATATACTTTATTTGATTCTTAATGTTCTATGATTCATCAATGGAGTTAATTATTATCATTCTTCTTTATTTCAGCAGTTCGATGTTGTCCTGGAAAACAAATATTACAATATTTATCATTTAAATCATTCATTTCCAAATCATAACCAGACAAACACTAAGAGTGAATTAAATTGCCACACAATATTATTCGATTTGACGTGATATAGGCACTCGTTGAACTGAATAAAACATCACATAAAGTCTAAAATAATGGCGAGTATAATCATTATTTTTTTAGCCAAAAGTAATAACCCCCTGAAAGGCTTTTGTTTTGACTTAAATGCTTGCTATCCAAACAAAGTTAATAAAGTTGTTTCAGAAGTCAGGAATATTAACGTGTGTCAATTTACATTGTTAACAAGAAACTAATTATAGTAAAAACTATTTAATGCATCACTTACATATATCATCAGACATTGCAACATACCTTATATGTGAAGTTTATTTAAATTTGTGGAGCTTTACAAACAAATACTCTTTCCTCGTCACATTTCTCATCATTCCATCGTTCTGTTGTAATAAAAATAGCATATATTAAGGCCGAACATATATATTTTCAACGTTTAACATCTATTAAATGGTTACTTAGATGTACAAAACATCATCTGGAAAACAGATATATCAAAAAAATGTGTGACTCATAGGTTTCAAACTGACGTGAGGCGATGATGAGAGGCAAAACCTATTTTTGTGGTCAAAGACACATTGACCACAACAACACATCTAATTTCCATACAATGCAATCATGGTTTGGAATTGAAATACTTATCATACGGATGTGATATATAATGTAGAAAGTACCACGGAAAGTACCATCTCCCCATCGTGGCCTCCACTTGGTAACCGGCATCCCCAACAACAATCGGACTTAATCCGAATTGAGAACGTGAACTCTACAAGTTTAATTGAATGCACACAGCATATCAGATAATAGTTATAAACCCCTTTAGCCACATCTCAATATACTCTTGACTGACCATTTATTTCAAATATTCCATAGCAGTCTCATTTTACTCGAGGTGTCCGATGTTTTACGGGTTTATTTTTAAAGAAGTAACTGTCCACAAACAATCTCAGTTTAAGAGATAAACAGAACGAAGAATATTAACCCGCCGAGAGTCTGCGTGTCGACGCCTTGATTTAGGTCACCCAATATTATATAGTCGGCGTACAGTCAGAGGTATAATTTTGGATTCAGGAAGGTAATGTTTTAATTCTAGTTAGTATAATCCCGGCATTTGTGGCGCCAAGGTGTTTATGTCACAGAAGTGCCATGACTGCCATAATCAGCATGTTTTCTGTCTGAGTACTATATTTAATTTTGTTCTAAATAACAGCATTTTTCTAGTGACAATATCCGATAATTAAGATCAGGCAATTGCCGGAGTGGGTCAGTCTGATGATTGAACCAAACAGATGAATAGTGACTAAGCAGTAAATAATACAATAAGTTGCCAGTGATAATACATACATACATGCATGCATCACACGTGTTATGTACATTCTTGTCGATTAAATAACACACATACGTAAGTATAATGACAACAAACGATATGTAAATGTAATCAATTATTGGAAACATAGTGCGAAAATTGTTTGTTGTAGGGTATTTTGACAATGATGGATAGATATATGTTACGAGTGGAACATTGTGTTTCCACTTCATAATCGACATAATTGTGCACCCGATATTACAGCAAAACAAACATTTTTTTATAATACTTACTACTATCCCCGACATTGCCTTCTACACAATCTTCATCAGCAAATAATGAATCGTTAGGCTCGCCACAGTCCCAATTTTTCCAATCCATTGGAGAACCATCAGTCCACGTAAAAACTTCCTCCTGTATAAAATTATTATATTGATTAGTAAAATTTCAGTAAAAGTGTGCAATATTGTGGATTTCTTCTAAAACTATGTTATATGCATAGTAGTAAATAATGAATAAAATAATGTATATGTTTCCTTACCGTCCCTACATCATTTGCTCCAAGCCAATAACGATCAGTCGTTTGGACTAATGATTGTACATAACCTTCTTCTGCCATTGAATGGGTTGACGCCAAAAAACCTCCTGCCGCTTGGTTTCCACAGTAATCATCAGCATCGTGGAATGATTTTAGAATCGAAACGTATGCATAACAATAACCATTCTCAGGCCAATATTCAAACCCCTGAGGACAGGTTCCTGGAAAATTACATTACACTTTGTAACATTCACAATTTCTTGCGAAAATTAGTTTCATTTTAATTGTTTACGAACCCATTATATGGATCTATCACAATCCTATTCGTGTCGATTTCACACTGAAGTAAAGCTGGTGTGATAACGATTCATCATTAACAGCTACGATTAAGTATTGCATATATAAGATTATTTGTTCGATGAATTATTTATTACAACTTACCTTGACCTATAACAAGGTCTATACTGAGCACAAATGCAATTATAGGAAGAACATTCATCTTCATACAAACGAATGATATTTTCTGCTTGAAAAGAAATATATACTAATATTAAACATTAGTTTCATTTTCTGTTCACAGTTTATGCAAACGTGCCAAGACATTTTTACACCAGAATACGTTGAATTTTTGTTGTTGTAATACAATAACCATGTTATTATAACGCATTAAAATGTGGAGTGGTGAGAGCAAAGACATGTTAACAACCTCTTCCAGTGATTAAAAATCTGACTCAATGTCGACTAAAAACTGCCCTATCCCCGCTGTAGAAACACGCAATCCGAAATTCCGTCACGACTATCAGTTTGGTAGGCTTGAAGCGGGATTCCATATTCTCCGGATTGGTCCAGTGTGTCATGAGAAATGGAATTTGCATGGTCCGCCCATTGTTTATTATGTATACATAACAAAGGTGGTTATCCTGTGTGCTAACATTTTACGAACACGAACGTACTGTCACTAACACTCGATTTGAATAAACCTGTTTCATTTGAAAGTCGCATACCTAATGTATGCCTAAATCTTGTTCTACAATTAATCTAATGTCGCAATCGTATTCTGCAAGAAGTAGTAGTTGCATGCGATGAAACATTTTCATTGAAAAATGTGAGTTCCACAACAGCAATTGCCTTTCGTGAGTTCGGAGTTATTTTCCAAGAACAACAGAAGTTTGAAAAAGTTATAAGACGAACAATTTTCTTTTGTAGCAAAAGTAACGGCTCCAGGAAGGTAGTATACGTGTTCCCCATAATTTCAATACAATAGGAAAGGTGTGGCAGAATTAAAGAGTTGTACAATAAAATAAGAATTGATTAGGTAAATAATATCTGAGTCAAGATATAAGTCCCACCTTAGGGGCAATGGATTTTACAACTTTTCGAATGTGAAACTTCCAATTGAAATGCTGATCAATGGATACTCCAAGGTAAATGGCCGATGGGACACCCTCTATTTGGTTACCGTCAATACCCAAGCTTCCCTCTACGTTCACTATTTTTTGGGATGTTTTAATATTCATGTAGTTGGTCGCTTGTTAGCATGAAACCATTCACACACATGCTTAAGGTCAGAAATAAAAATCGAGCTTTATGGCAAGCATGATGTGGGTAATCTAAATGTTGTTCATATGATCGTACGAGGTAGACGTTAATATGAAAATGCTTTGAAAATTTTAACTGAAATATTAACTTTTTATTTTTAAGTATGTCATAAACATTAATACAAGTTCAATAATCTTTCAGACAAGTTCATTATTTTCCAAGTTTCCTGAATATTAAAGCGTGTTGGAAATAAAATAAAATACAATACAATACATGCGCGGCCGGTCACATGTTGGTGAACTATGTAAACTCATCGTCTCCAGTAGTTTAAAATTAAATTATTCAGAAATGTGCTGCAACCACATTTTCTGTCATATGTGGAATCGTAATGTGGCGATGAATCTAATCGTTTGATGGAATCCTGACACACACATCCGTTTTAAAAAAAGTAGTGTGGAATGCGATACCACATGTTTATATAATGATATATAGTGTCATCAGGTCACTTTCGCTGAGTAGTTAGATATTTCTTTAAATAAATGACTGTAGTAAGCGATATCGAACTAACTAACATGAAATAGTTTATTGGCACTGATAATAATTGACATTAACTATAAAATGCAATTATAAGATTCTAATTGCCCAGCCGAGGATAGAAATTTTAATTGAATAACACATTGTGTGAATGCCCCCGCTCCCTCGAGGAAATGGTATAGAATGACTTGCTTAGTTTAATGCAATACAAAAGATAACCATTTCTCTCCGGTGAACACAGTATTCATTGTTAACAATTGATGCTGTTCGGTTATCAAACTAACGGCGATTTTTTAAAACTAACTGATAAATTCGAAGTGTTTTTAAGGGCACCAATTTGGGTGTGACATACATTTGTTGTCATACTAAGGGACGACATCAACAGATCGATGTCGGATAAAAACTTATTTCCTTTAGTGTGGGGGTGGGGGGGGGTTGACCTCAAAAAGTTTCCATCCTACAAAAACGATTTTATTTTTCAATGAAGTCAAAAAAATCTTGGAGTATTTGTAGTTCGTTTTTTTTCTATCCAATCATGAACAGAAATAAACGAAAAGGGAAAAAACAGAAAAATGGTTTGGTTCGAGTGTAAATCTGTGCGAAATGAGGTGCATTTGTAAAATCTTTTTACACCCACCCGACAACCAACTGCTATGCCATACTACTGTCCGATTATCAATTTGTATTTAATTGTGAATGTAGTCTGACGCCATGACGTATATTTGTCAATTAAGTTTCAGTGGGGGCTAGGGGGTTTTGGAAAAAACTAAAGGAATTAAGTTTTTATCCGACATCGATCTTTTGACGTCGTCCCTAACAACATTTACATTGATTATAGGGTATTATGTGATGCGGTACAGAATAAACAGAAAAAAAGTATAGTCGGAAACATGATACATACCTCGTATGAATGACTGTAGCACAACCGAATTACAATGATAGGAATGATTCTCATTCAGAGAATGCTTGTTATTTATGCAAATTTATCAGATACCATCTGTTCATGCGACACGCTTGATTAATAATATCGATATATGTCATCAAATTCATCAATTTAAATTGTTTAATGACATGATATTTGTCGTTGTTATCATCACTTGAGATACATACCAGCTGCATGATATGACAAGGCTAAGATATCCTTATCAAAACTAGTTGCCGTGATGGTATGTGCAATATCACATTTTTGTTGTATGCTAATTTTAGTTTACAGTTGTCTGAATTGTGTGCAAACAGAATGTAGGTTTTACAACATCCTGTTGCGCTTCAAACTTGTTTATGCGTGGCGCCATCACAATTCTACTGGCAGGCAGTATACCTGGGGAAGAAACGATAGCAAATCTCGCATTGATACGTTTTATATATCTAAAACTATCGTATCCGGAATTAAATTATCGTCTATTCTGCCTCGTTATGATTTTTCTGATCATTTTCCTGTCGATATCCGTCTGTCTTTTAGTACCATTAATGCACGTACTCCTGTTTGGTGCTTTAATTAAAGCGTCCCGCAGAATGAAGATTTTTGTGAAAGATTCACAGATTCACAGTTTTACAGCGACTTGCTTTCTCCCGGTCCGGTTTCCTTTGAATAAACTGCTGAAAAACGCGTTTCACAACTTGTCTCTTATTTAGTTTTACGCTTCATTCAAGAAGGCGGCCCCCATATAGTAAATATCGTATTTATTTATTATCACGTGTGCGCCAGCTGACTGTGGCTAGGCTGGACTTCTGATGGCCTCGACCTCAAATGTCATCGATGAGGTCGAGGCGAAAATAGGACACTGGCCAAAATATGCACCTGCTCTGTCCTACAGAGGACGTTCTCCGATTATCAACAACCTTGTTGTATCTAAACTCTTTGTCGGAGAAAGTTACTCCGAGTTATATGAAATTCAAGGACAAGCGACTCCACACCCGTTTCATGTAGTACCAGCTGTGATACTGATAGTTTATATATCAGCCTTTTATATTAGCCAGCCGGATTCTAAAAGTAAATCCTCTTGTTAATTACGTGTGTTTAATTAGTCTTGTTACCATGGTATTTATAGAGCCAATCACGACATAGTATTTTCATAGACATGGCCAATCACTGATCGTAAGTTTGTCCTTCAAGCTTTCCCGCCTTTTTTCACTCTGTTTTTGTGGGCTATGTTTCCTATGACGTTCGATTTAAGGGTATATAAGAATGAAACACACGCTTCTCGATATGTATTTCTTCAGTCTGTAACTCGTTACTATGTTCCAGCATTCGCTGTTGAATAAATCATTAGTTTATTAGTTTCTTAGACGAATTGCTGTCTCCGTGTCTGACATTTGTATACCCCCGCTCAAGGAGTCCGGTTTTTAACTGCATTCCCCCACACTCTTGTACACATTAATCGGTGATTAATTTGCCTCTCTCCCCCTGATCGAATAATTAATACCATTCAAAACATATTTGTTGACTTATTTTGCTTGGGAAGACATTTGCCGGCCAGTGAAGGAGGACAGGGATTGGCGCACTTGCCAACCCGTATTGCTTCATACCGCGTACAATACATACAACGGTATTTTTATTTTAACTCAAGTCATCCGTGTTATTTTTCGCCGATTACTTTTTAAGACAATTTCAAAATCTGAATTATAATAAACAGTTAAAATTGAAGTGAGAAGTTTACTTCCATGATGTGATGTCTTACATTCAATCCCAATCTTATATAGAACCATATAGAAGATATATTTTTGTGTTCTATTCAGACACGAATATTCACTGTGAGTTGCTATAATTACAGTTTGTACTGGAACTATTCGAAAACGAGGGAGCGTTAAATAAAAATAATTTACCTGGACGGAATAAAATAAGAATTGTGCCTTGGTTATTTCAGCATAAATACAATTTAACAAGTATGTGTATTTAACACAAACTGTAGATGATATTCTGCAAGCCTGATATTAAACAGGCTGATTGGTACAACAAGGTAATTATTACCCTCATGTTATAATCAGAAAGACTACATAACAGCTGAATGAGATGTTGCGTGGTTGTGTAAACGTATATTTGTATATAGGTCCTTACTCTACTTATTTGTTTAGTGAAAATCATTGATGAGCTAGGTAGGACTTAACGGGCGGCAGTCGTCGCGCTGCGTCCTGTTCGATATGGGACTCATAGCGACGTATACAACGCGTGTAAAATACATTGTTTATTTACATGAAATTCGAACAAGCGCTGCGCGACCACCGCGCTTTAAGTAAAGTGGCTGACACACAAGGAACCAAAATTCCACAGTAATCCGATTCAAGCAAAGAAGTCGTCAACATTCGCAAGCAATCTGATTGTTTTTAGGTGCCCAAGCACAAAGGGCCAGGCCCCTATTCTTATTGTCCGTTTTTTTCTTTCTTCATCTCCTTTCTGATAATGTTCTGATAATGCTCTATACTGATAGTCCCTGATGTGAACTGGTGCAACATGCTTTCAGAATTTTAATTGGCCAATTAGTTTGGCAGCCATATTGGATTGAAATAAAACCGGAAGTGGCTGTTTGACCACTTTCTGAAGATCTAGGTGTCTAGATTTGTTTATGGTATATAGTACAATTCATGTGTAATAGATATTAGCAATAAAAACTTTAGCGGTCACGTGACTTTTCACGCCATTTTGTTTTCCTAAAAACGACAAAAAACACATAAAAATCTTCTTCTCCAGAACCACTAGGCAAAATGTTCTCCAATACGGTGTTTTATCATTAATACATGACGCAAATTCCAGTTTGAGATTGATTGGTCACATGGTTTGGCCGCCATTTTGGTTTTCTTCCAAACTGGAAGTAGTTATTTATCCATTCTATAATTGCGTTATTTTCTTCTCATTTGCTACATTGCATCTCTACGTTAAAGTCTTCCAGAAAATGTAAAAAAGATTCAGATCAGTCACACGGTTCGGCCGCCATCTTGGATTTTTGGAAAATGTTTCAAAACGTTTAGACATTTGCTTCAACAGTGCTTCAACCGATCTACTAGATGTTTTATATGTACCATGTCTGGCCATAGATCCATACGAGAAAAATAATATTATTTTGATCAGTCACATGGTTTGTCCGCCATCTTGGATTTTTTGAAAATAGAAATTCTGCAATTACATGCTTTGTATTAGTCAGATTACTTTTAAATTTTGTATGTGCATTTGTGTCTTCAGATACATCATTTTGCCCCAATAGCACACTACTAGGCAACGTGGCCGGGCACCTATGGGGTGGGGGCTTCTAACCTCATTAATATGCATAACTGTTATAACTCAAGCACTGTTGCAGTAAAGAGAATGAATCCTGTGTTATTATGACAACGGTTAACAAGAGATTTGATTAAAATAATTATTGACCAAATATGGTCATCTGAGCTCATTAATATGCATAACATGTCATATCTCAAACACTGTGGCAGTTAGGAAGATGAATCTTGTGTTATTATGACAACATTGAACAAGAGATTTGATTAAAATAACAGATGACCATATATGATCATGGGAGTGCATTAATATGCATAACTGTCATATCTCAAACACTGTTGCAGTTAGGAAGATGAATCCTGTGTTATTATGACAACATTGAACAAGAGATTTCATTAAAATAACAGATGACCATTTATGGTCATGTGAACTCATTAATATGCATAGCAGTCAT